ATAGTCTTTAGCCTCAGATGAAAAAGGCTTATTATTTCCTAGTATAATTTAAGTAAAATGAGGTAACACTTCACCTTAGTGTAAGCAGTGTGAGGAGTTCAGAATCTCCTGTTTGAATCATAAAAACTTCAAACTATACCAGCCACAAATTTATCATCACTTTACTCATATTAACTGAGTAATCAACTATAGTAATTGTAGCAGAGTCTTTTGTATGTCTCCCCAGGGATCAGTAAACTACAAAAGATTGTTAAACATGCGTCCATCACAGAAATGACTGTGTCAGCATTTTGGGAGGCAAAACCATAAAATGAAAGAAAGTAGTTCAGGTTTCAGAAGTCATCTGATAAACAATTTGAAAGCAGAAAAAATGCACAGCTCTCCAGAGATTAAAGTCATGAACATATTTTATAATCCTACTATACCAGCCATTATTTAGTTAAAGATGAAAAGAATTGCATGTATACATGATTTGTTAAGCAAACCATTTTTCAGTTGAAGACATAGTAAATATACTTAACCAATACTAATACAGACTACTTTATCTCAGTTTTAAATTCAAAATGGCCCTTAAAACAAATGTAAAATTATTTTATATTAACTATCCAATAAAATGTTAAATGTCATATAATGAAGTAGATTTTGGAAAGCAATATTATAATTTCATTTGGATATATTAAAAGCTATCTGACTAAAAAATTATTAAAAATTTTATAACGGTAACTATTTGACATATATTTAAAAATTATTATTATAAAGAAATAATTTTTCATATTCAGTGGGTTTTAAGAAAGCATGATAATGAAAAATTTTATTATTTTTAAATATAGTTTATACCTATAAAGTGTAAGTACTTTTAGAGTTTCTTCAATTGTGTGATTTGAAATTTTTTCCTGCATTTACATTTAATTTTAGTAATATTTTAAATATAAAATTAAGTGTAACAGATTTTTTTAAAAATTGCCCAGTCCTATCATATTCAATATGCAACCCCTCATTTTGTTCTCTATATTTGTCTTTTCTAAATGGCTTGTATTATTAATTTTATTTATACTTTTTTCTTCCTGCACCCTGAGGTAAACCTCTGTCTCTTAAATTATATTTTTATCTTTTAAATTTGAGTACAAGTTGCTATCAAAAGAAATATGTTCTCCTAATTACGCCCAGAACAAATACCTCAGAGACCCAGTGGAATCATAAAGTGCAAAAACCATAAGCATCTCTGCAACATGGCCTCTTAAAAATGGCCTGTTTTGCAGTCTTGTAAGTTGTGAACTTTAAAATATGAAGTCATTTTACTGCAGTCATTGTTTGGTTTTTAAACATATAATTCTAAAATAGGACAATTTATTCATACATTCATTGTTGTGCTCTAGAGTTCTGGAATTACTTTGATGTATCCTTATAAGGTCCACAAAATCATTTTTTCTTATTGTATGAAAAACTAATTTTTTACAAAATTTTCAACTATGTATTTTGTACTGCTCAGGACAATCTAAATTTAATACATTAGCTATCAATAGATATTTCTATTATGAAATGAGATTTTAAGTGACTTATTTCTGAAGATATTAGTAACATTTGATACAGAAAAATGTCACACTGTAATTAGGATGATGAAAAGATGTTTTGTTATAAATGACTTACAATCCAAGTACCTACATTTGTTTCAAGAATTTCTATTTCTAGAAAATTAAAGCTTGGGAGAAGGAAAAAAAATTGTGGGGAGGCATATTAATTGATTTGTAATTATTTATGTCATTCTAAAATATACTCTGGAGGTATATTTTATAATTATTTATGGTTATTTTCCTGCGGTTAACCAATATTACCACAAAATGCTTAATATTCTTTCATATTATAAAAAGATTAATGTCATTGGTAGATCAAAGTTCCATCTTGAAATAACCTTGGATAACTAGAAAGTTCCATTGTGAAGTCTTAATTTTGACATAAAAATATAATATAGAAATTAGGTTAGAATCAAGTATGGCAGCTTAATTTTCTGAAAGAAAAAAAAAGGTTTGGATAAGGAGTAAATATATTGCTTTTCAACAATGTTAAGTCTAAAAGGAAGAATATAAGTTTCCATTAGCTTCAAATTTGGTCTCAAGTTTTTGTCACTTGAAATTTCAGTTTCCAGAAAAATTATCAGATAATAAGAAGTCTTTAATTTTTATATAGAGGCAGGTCTATTTGCAATCAGACCAAATCACCAGATCAAATCACTATGTATACCATTGAAATGCTCAAGAAATTAATTGTATTGGAAGAAATACATCTCTGGGCCCGTGCTGTGGTACAGTGGATTAAAGCCCTGGCCTGAAGCGCTGGCATCCCAAATGGGCGCCGGTTCTAGTCCCAGTTGCTCCTCTTCCAGTCCAGTTCTTTTGCTGTGGCCCAGGAGGGCAGTGGAGGATGGCTCAAGTGCTTGGGCCCCTGTACCTGCATGGAAGACCAGGAAGAAGACCTGCTCCTGGCTTCAGATCAGTGCAGCACGGGCCGTGGCAGCCATTTGGGGAGTGAACCAATGGAAGGAAGACCTTTCTCTCTGTCTCTCTCACAGTCTATAACTACCTGTCAAATAAATAAATAAATAGAATTGAAAATCCAACTCTAGAGGGAAAATTGTTCAGTGATTCTGCTGACTCATTGTAAGGATTGGTAATAATAGTATTTCAGGCTTTTACCCAGTAATTTGGTTTGAAAATCTGTACTGTATTGTGAGAATGTTGTAAGTTATCTGTGTATATCTCCTGTCATTAGACTCTCAGAAATAGCTTTTTAATTTATAATTTATAAAAATTAATTGCAGAATTCTTTAAGTGTCAGTGGTCTCTTAAGTTTCCTTATCTTTTGTCTTTCTAAAATAATCTGCATAAATCAGTAATCCAGAAATTCAGAGACAGAATGAAAAAGAACAGCAATTTGTCCGTGTAAAATAAAAGCCCACTGTGATCTAGCTTCTGATGCTGTCATAATATTCAGCAACTATTCAACCTGCAGCCTGCACTCCAGTCCTGAGACTACTGTCAATTTTTCCAACGCACTACACATGCGCAATTCTTTGGCCAGATGTTCTTCCCTACTCCTGTGTCTCCCTTTGGCCATTCCCTCCCCCAGCAGTCACTCACTAGTGGTAATTGAAATGGAGATGGTCAGGATATGAGCAAAAATACTAATATATTTTAGGAAGCAGTAAGTGCTGTATTAAAATTATACTTAAGGGCTGTGAGAATTAACAGAAATTGGCAATATAGAGAACATTGTGGTGTTACTTAGGCTTTAGATGGTTGTAATGAACTTCTGGATTGGAGTGAACCAATAAAAGAAGGTGAGGAAACAAGCATTAATCAGGAATAGTAAATTGTTTGGCGAAGACTATGTGGAATGTAAAAAGTAAGAGATATGATTGGACAAGAAGAGATTCTTGAATTCAACAGTAAGGAATTGCTCCTTATTTTCATAGTAAATGAAGATTTTTTAATCAAGGAAAAGATATTATCAATGTTATAACCTAAACCCATCTGTAATGTGTAGAGTATGAGAGGTATTAGATTAGAATTATCTGGTGAGTCTACTATTATTTCTCTAAATAAATGAAAATTGTATTTGAGGTTTGCATTTAAAGATCCTGATCCAGTATTATTATAGGCTACTGGGCCCAGGTTCTTTTCTCCATTGCAAGGTAGAATTCAAGGAGACATAGATAAAGATCAGCAGAAAAGCATGATTTATTTACAGGCAAAGTTAAAGTATGTACTCAGGAATGAGTGCTGGCCAAGGTCACAAAATAAAGAGCTGCACTCATCAAGGTTCAGGGCTGTCCCTTTACATGATCCGGATACTTGATGGGATGTGGCTGAACTGAGTATTCAAAGAGGGGGGCTTTTAAGGGGGTCTGGGTACTGCCCATTTTCTTTCTTGTTGTGGAAGTGGGAAGTGTCATGGTGTCAGGTACCTAACTGGAGTGGGAGGGTCAGCCGTGGGAATTTTATATGATGAAGTAAACATCAGCATGGGGCATAACCTGTAACCATATTGGGTGTTTTTAGCTGGCCCTGGTTCTAAGTGGCAACATAACAGAAGCTGAGGTTTTCCATTGTGCTGCAGCGTTGAGAGTCAGTGGTGGGAGCAGTTGGGTATGTCATGGAAAAGGGGTTTTTGGTGGTGTACAGTGCAGGGAAGGGGGATCGGTCAGCACAGGGCTTCAGACTGCCATGCTGCAGGCCGGGCTGTGCACATGCCTGGTAGGCAGAGCTGGCAAACCTCAAATCCCCCTTGTTAACCCTACCTTCTTGCCTCCGTCAGCGTTATAATAGAAAATCTCTTCATTTCTCACGGTATGTTATTCCCTGCAGCAGGGAGATAATATGGTTATTTCCGTATTGTTGCCATTACCAAAACATTTTTTTGAGTGCTTTAGGAATTGCCTTCAGAACCCACTTACATTCTCTTAAGTATTGTTTATGGTGGCAAATAATATTTTTATTTCATCACAGGTGCTATCTTAAGACCAGCTAATTTATTTCAAAAGAGCTACTTTTGCAGATTCAAATATGCCGCCTCTATTTTTCTGCTATAAATCATCCTTTACCTCCTGGAGACACACAAAAATGTGTGTCAATATGCGTTAGCTATATTTTATAGCTATGTAGTAGCCCATGTGCATTCTATATGACTTCACTTATCAGTAAATATCTTATTCTTATAACCTGGTAAAGGGTTGAACAAATTTTGGGTAATAATATAGTCAGTTAAATCTAATATTGGCATTAAATATTTACAGTGCCAAGATTATTTTGAAATTGAAATGGTGAAAATAACAAAAAGCAAAATATGTCATGGTTCCTTTATAATTGTGAATGTATCTCTAAACTTCCTAAGATAATTCTGTTCATGGAAATAATAACACCTTGATTACTTTTTAAGTTAACTGGATTTTTTTCAAATATATTTAATGATTAAAGAGAATATGTGGCCATGATTTTCTTTTAAAGGAGAAAGAACGGTTGAAGCAAGAAAAACGTGATGAGAAAAGATTAAATAAAGAACGCAAACTTGAGCAACGAAGATTAGAATTAGAAATGGCAAAGGAACTAAAGAAGCCTAATGAAGACATGTGCTTAGCAGACCAAAAGGTAATTTTTATATATGTTAACCATTTCATTAGTAAATTTAATTTTTCTAGTTTGTCATCTTTTTCATTTGCAAGGGCTATTATTACGACAGCTTTTCAGGATTTTTGTTATTTTGTTGTGTTTTTTTTTTTTAAAGATTTCTTTATTTGAAATAGAGACAGAGAAAGGACAGAGAGAGGAAGAGAAAGGAACAGAGATCTTCCATATACTGGTTCACTTCCCAAATGGCCACAATTGCCAGGTCTGGGCTAAGTTGAAGCCAGGAATCCAAGATTCATCCAGGTTTCCCAAGGGGCAAGGGCCCAAGCACTTGGGCAGGGGCCAAAGCACTTGGGCCATCTTCTACTCTTTGCCAGGTGCGTGGGGACATTGTCTTATAAATAGAGTTGCTGAGACTTGAACCAGTACTCCAATATGGGATGCTGGCATCACAAGCTCTGGCTTTAATCCATTACACCACAATGTCCAACCCTTATTTGTAAATGAAACCATGAATTCCTAAGTCTAGGTGAATTTTTAGCTCCTCAATAGCCGCCAATAAGCCTCTCCAGACCTCCTGTGCTGATAATGGCAGTTCTTAGAATATAAGTAGAGCAGGGTGGGCATTGTGGTGTAGCAGGTAAATCCACTGCCTGCAACTCTGTCATCTAAGATAGGTACCAGTTCGAGTCCCAACTGCTCCACTTCCCATCTAGCTCCCTGCTAATGGCCTGGAAAAAGCAGCTAAGGATACCTCAAGTGTTTGGGCTCCTGGTATCCACTTGCAAGACCTGGAAGAAACTCCTGGCTCTCAGTTAGGCTTGGCTCAGCCCTGGCCATTGCAACCATCTGGGGAGTGAACCAGCAGATGGATGGTCTCTCCCTCTTTCTCTGTAGCTCTGCCTTTCAAATAAATAAATAAATAAATAAAAATCTTTTTACAAAAAGAATATAAATAGAACACTGTACACCTTTTTAATGTTAGTAAAAATACCACAAAAGTCTACAAAAAAGAATTGTAGAAGTAGATAGGACTTTCAGGTTTCTTTGATCCTTCCCAGGTATTCAGGCACAGATAGATGTACCTTCTCCCCATTTATAATCTGTAACCTCCTTCAATGCTTTAATAATGGCCACTGATCTTTGTTGGGTATATTTATTATTTGCAGGCTCTACGCTAAGTGCTTGTATGAATTCACGCATCTTTTGAAAGATTTTATTTATTTATTTGAAAGGCACAGTTACAGAGAGGGAGAGGCAGAGGAAGACAGAGAGAGAGAGAGGTCTTCCATCCACTTGTTCACGCCCCAGATGGCTACAACGGCTGGAGCTGGGCCAACCCTCTGAATTCACTCATTTAATCTTCAACATAATCCCTTGGAGTTAGTATTTATCGGCATTTACAGATGAGAAAACTGAGGCACAATGTGGTTCAGAGCATACTAGGAGAAATTTAGGAAGATCACAGTGATCATGGCAACTGGCAGGATTTCATATACTTTTGAGTAGAAGTCAATTATGTTTTTGACTGTAGTTAAGATGATAAAAGTGGTAAAAGCAGGGGCTGGCACTGTGGCATAGCAGGTAAAGCCACTACCTGCAGTGCCGGCATCCCATATGGACATTGGTTCGAATGCCAGCTGCTCCACTTCCAATCCAGCTCTCTGCTATAGTCTGGGAAAGCCGTAGAAGATGGTTCAAGTGCTTGGGCCCCTGCACCCACGTGAGGGACCCGGAAGAAGCTCCTGACTCCTGGCTTCAATCTTGCCCACCTACAGCCATTGTGGCCATTTGGGGAGTGAACCAGTGGATGGAAGATAGCTCTCTCTCTCCTCCTCTGCCTCTCTGTAACTCTGCCTTTCAAATAAATAGGTAAACCTTTGTGGTTTTTTTTGTTTTTGTTTTTGTTTTTAAAGTGGTTAAAGCAGCTTTCAGTAGCCTAGTGGGGACTGAATTATATTAATATTCTATTTATTTAGCATAACATAACTTTTTAAATAAAAATGAAAGTATGCTTAACAGTTTTAGTTATTTGTATTAGTTAACACATTTAATAAGCTCAGGATGAGTGTTTTTTAATCCTAAGTGAGCTTTGTTACTTACATCTTTTATTTTGTTTAAACCCATATTTACTATGTCCAGTATATAAGTCCCTTTAAGCCACATTTTATTAGATTTGTTATATAAATTTTTAGAATTTTATGAAATTAGCGGGTCTCTCCTTGGAGCGGCGCGAGAGCGGAGCGAAAGCTGCGGCGCTGGGGCCATGGCAGGACAGGCATTTAGGAAGTTTCTTCCGCTCTTTGACCGGGTCTTGGTGGAGAGGAGCGCCGCGGAAACAGTAACCAAAGGAGGCATTATGCTCCCTGAAAAATCTCAAGGAAAAGTATTGCAAGCAACGGTAGTAGCTGTTGGATCAGGCTCTAAAGGAAAGGGTGGAGAGATTCAACCAGTTAGTGTGAAAGTTGGAGATAAAGTTCTTCTTCCAGAATATGGAGGCACTAAAGTAGTTCTAGACGACAAGGATTATTTTCTATTTAGAGATGGTGACATCCTTGGAAAATATGTAGATTGAAATCTCTGAAACAGCATCACATGAAGCTTCCCATTCCATTGAAGTTCTGAAATCTTTTCATCATGTAAATAATTTCCATGTCTCTTTTATAATAAACTAATGCTATCTAAAAAAAAAAAAAAAAAAAAAGAATTTTATGAAATTGTATATGTCTGATATGGTACAGCAAAAAGGGAGACTCAGAACTAACTGATTTTCAATTGGAGCACAAAATATTTGTATGATATCAGCAATCCTTAGTTCTTTTTCTCCATTATTTCAGTAGTCCAGGGTGGGGAAACATTTTTGAACAAGAACCAATTCAGATAAATTAAAATGTGTGTAATTCACTGTTTTTTCCCAATTAAATTTTACAATATTTTTTGTTCTCATCCATGAACAAAAAATGGTTTTAATTTAGATTCTCTGTTTACGGTATTTTTTAAATGTCTATGACAATCGGTACCATAATCTGGTCATTAAAATGTTAATATTTGAACATACTTGAGAAGCATCAACAGAGACAGCTTTCTAATTTTAATACTGAAACTTATATTAATTAATGTTTCACAAATATTTGGAAGCCTGAAGACCTTTAGTTTCGTTAATTAGGTTCATGTTCAGAGTCATAAGTTCTGGTCATGTGAATGGCGTTCATTAGCCATTGATGTGACCACTTTCTCCGACCATAGGCCCCACAGATGCATTCTGTTAGTTTCTGAGTTGCCAAAAAATTAGTGTGAATCTTAAATGTCTCCATCATTAGAAGTGAGTGCACATAACATTGACATGTCCATGGGAAGATAGTTTTGAAATATTTATTTCTTACATTATTTAACTTTTACTCCAGCTATATATAACCCATACTTTGTCAGTATGTAAGCTAATTAAAATTAGTTGTCCCTTTTGCATAGATCTGAGTTTATAATGAGTTCATCCAAAATTTATCGATGGTTGCTTATCTTTATGACATTATGCTTGGTGCCATGGGGATTGCAGAAGTGCTCCCAGGGAATTTGCCATCCAAAGGGAAAACCACTACTATGGCCCAAAAGGCAGAAAGGTAGCAGCTTATTTTTTTCAGAAGTCAGAAAATCATGGCTCTTAAAATTTGTAAGTTCTTTTTAAATTTCTGCATTTATTTTATTTTTAGCCTTTGCCCGAATTGCCTCGTATTCCAGGACTTGTTCTCTCTGGAAGTACATTTTCCGACTGTCTCATGGTGGTACAGTTCTTAAGAAACTTTGGTAAAGTTTTGGGCTTTGATGTGAATATTGATGTTCCCAACCTGAGTGTTCTTCAAGAGGGATTACTAAATATAGGAGACAGCATGGGTGAAGTACAAGACTTGCTTGTGAGACTCCTCTCAGCTGCTGTATGTGATCCAGGTCTAATAACAGGATACAAGGTAAAAATATGTATATTAAATTTTTTTTAAAAAAATTTCTGCTATCAGTTTCTTTATAGCTAATGTTTGCGTTTTAGCAGAAGATTGTACCCTCTGATCCAGTTTTTTCCCACATAATACCTTGGAAAGTGAAATATAGATTTGTATCAGATTATACTTGATACAAGCATAGAAAACCCTGATTATAAAGCTTAAGGAATGTGGAGCATTCTCAAGTTACTCTTTTTCCTCTATCTGTAGGCCAAGACCAAGTTGAATTAAGGAAGTACTTGAATAGTTTTTGTCAAAAACAGAGAATAAATAATTCATAAAACAAATAGAACTTGTCTGTACCTTCTGAAATTATACCTTGCCATCTTTCAAATTATTGTGAATAACTGAAACTAACCATAGCACCTACGGACTAGCACGTTAAACTCTTTACTGCTCAGTGGATTCTCAGTAAATTCAAATTTATCTTAATCTCAAAACGCACATTACTGTTCACTTGGCTCTGTATAATATTATAGAAAGAGAAACTGTGGGATAAACCTGTTAGTTTTTCCTCCCTCTCCGTACTCATTCAGTGTACCAGGCAATAAAACCTATGTTGCAGTAAAGCTAGAAAATATTGGTTTTGAACCTCATCTCCTTGCCATTACTGATAAAATGTCTATGAACAGCCTGAGCAAAGCTTATAATCAGAGAAAGTTTGACAGATTATTAAAATTTCTGCTACCCGTGAGTGTACATACTCATCTCTTTGCCTGACTTTAAATCCACTAGTTTGGAGGAGAAACACAAAGATACAAGTACTTGATTATGCATCTGTGGCCAATTTTTGTTTCAACTTGATTGAAAATGTGAATGAAACCCCTGTCAGTGATATCCAGAAAATATAATACTAATATTTTTGATCTCACTTTTTATGTCGTGTACCATTATGGGCAATAATTATAAAAATGCCATCTTTGTATAGGCCAAAACAGCTCTTGGAGAACATTTGCTGAATGTTGGTGTGAACCGGGACAATGTTTCCGAGATTTTGCAGATCTTTATGGAAGCCCACTGTGGACAAACCGAGCTTACAGAGAGCCTGAAGACAAAAGCTTTTCAGGCCCACACACCAGCGCAGAAAGCCTCAATCCTGGCTTTCCTCATCAATGAACTGGCGTGCAGCAAGAGTGTGGTGAGGTGAGCACATGCCCCACTGTTCTGGTGATCCTTTTTGGTGCTGGATTTGTCTAAGCCCAGAATGAGAAAATTGGCAAGTTTCAAAAGAGCACAAAGAAGAAAAGTAAAATCCCTCATCATTTGAAGATGGTCACTGATAATGTTTTTGTGATTTTTTTTTGCAGTCTTGAAAAAGCATTTAGATCATATAGTATATATATAATCTCTAATTTTTCTCACCTGGTTTGTTTAATACTTTTGTTAATTTTTTAAATTGTGGTAGGTGTTTTTTTGTTTGTTTGTTTGTTTGCTTTTGCACCAGAATCTAGCAACCATGATAAGAATCCAGAATTTTTTTTTCCTTGCCATCTTTCAAGGACATTTGACTTTTTGACATTACTTAGTAGCCATTCTTAGAATTATCTAGCCTATTTTTATCTTGTTATATGCTAACGTGACCTTATACTATTTATCTATGTATTCATATCTTTTTTAAAAGTCCTTAATCTTATTTATGTAACAAAGTAAGTCCTCCACTCTAGTACTTGTTACTGATGAAATACTAATACTCTAGTATTTCAAAATATGGTACTAAGACTATGTTCATTTTGTTTTTGCTTTCATTATTTTCCAGTTTTAATTGTTACTTCTAGTCCTTTCCCTTTATAGAAAGAATAATCAGTCTGCATATTAAGAGCCATGCCTTTCTACTATTCTATACATTTTAAATTTTCTGTACCTGTCTTAACTATTATACTATACTCATATACTTTTTCATTTTTGCCATTAATTGGAAATAACTCACTCAAAAAGTGTGATATTTGTTTTATAATTTCATTAAGCATGAGCATGATGACAAATAGTTAACGCTGAGTAGCATTTATTTAAAACTCACATATATGCACCAAATTCAAAGTAAAACATACCCTGTGGTTTCTAAGACAGAGAAAAGCACCACTGCTTACTCAATACCATAACCTCATGTTATTCTTAATGTTTGGACATTTATATATGCTCACTCGGGGGCCGATGCTGTGGTACAGCGGGTTAACGCCCTGGCCTGAAGCGCCGGCATCCCGTATGGGCGCTGGTTCTGGTCCCGGCTGCTCTTCTTCCGATCCAGCTCTCTGCTAGGGCCTGGGAAAGCAGTAGAAGATGGTCCAAGTCCTTGGGCCCCTACACCCACATGGGAGACCCGGAAGAAGCTCCTGGCTCCTGGCTTCAGCAGCTCCAGCTGTTGAGGCCATCTGGGGAATAAACCATCGGATGGAAGACGTCTCTCTCTCTCTCTCTCTGCCTCTCTTCTCTCTGTGTAACTCTGACTTTCAAATAAATAAATAAATCTTTAAATATATATATATATGCACACTTGGATAGGTATTATATATATATATATATACATATATGTCCACTTTAATAAATAAGCATGTGTGTTCTGATTTCCTGCTTTGATTTTAATTATATGCAAATCAAAAATAGGAATACTTTCTAAAGCAATTGGCAGGTATTTCCTTTCTTGCTTTAAAGTAGAAATCACAGTGAAATTTCTAATATTAACGTTGTATTCAATGAAGACTGTTGCATGTATGTATAAACCCATATATACATGTATGTATAGTATATATATTTACATACAAGAGCAGTTGTATCATTTTCAGCTACCAAAAATACATTAACTTGCCAACAAGTTTAATGAATTGTACAAATGTATTAATTTATGTCTTTCAATAAATTTTTGCATTGACAGTGAAATTGACAAAAACATTGATTATATGTCAAACTTGAGAAGAGATAAATGGGTGGTAGAAGGTAAACTCCGCAAGTAAGTCTGATTTTATTGAAACTAAAATAGTGGGTTCCTTTTGTACAAATATGCAGTAAAGCACATGAATTGTAAGGGTAGAATTTAAATTTTATTTTGTCTAAAGAAAAGTCAATGTTTAACTTATGTGGGACATGAAATGAATAAAACTTGCGATTAGAATTTGCAGTGGACTTCCACTTTGACTATGACTTTGTCTAAATAAGATCGGAGTTGTCAAACTCAAAAGGCTTCCATAGCCTTGGCAACTCATGACAAGAGCCTAGGGAGATTACTGACGCCATAAACAAGAGTGTCAATTTGTTAAGTCAACAACAGGAGTCACTGTGCACTTACTCCTCATGTAGCATCTCTGTCAATGTGTTGTTCAGTGTGAATTAATGCTATAACTAGTACTTAAACAGTATTTTACACTTTATGTTCTGTGTGGGTGCAAACTGTTGAAATCTTTACTTAATATATACTAAATTGATCTTCTGTATATAAAGATAATTGAAAATGAATCTTGATGTGAACGGAATGGGAGAGAGAGTGGGAGTTGGGAGGGTTGCGGGTGGGAGGGAAGTTATGGGGGGAAAGAGACATTGTAATTCATAAGCTGTACTTTGGAAATTTATATTTACTAAATAAAAGTTAGGTTGTTCTAAAATAAAAAATGAAAAAAAAAAACAAAAACAAAAAAAGAATTTGCAGTGGATAAAAGATATGAGATTCATTAAGTTTATTTGCTTCAAACTTAAAAGAAAGTCAGTTTTTCTTTTTTTTTTTTCCCAAAGAAGTTGAGCAACTACATTTTCTAATATTGTTGCCATCAGGTAGGCTGCTTTTGTCATAAATACAAACTGAAACTACCACTTTTTTCCCTTGATTGCTTTCTAATTAAAATTTGTTCTCATAAGATTCTAACCAAACCTTTATTCATCTTTAAAACTTAATGATCTTCCTACCAGGAATGTCATACAAAAAAATATTCAACTTCCATTTAAGAGGATACTTTCTTTGAAGTAATTTTAATTGAAATTTACTCTTTTTGGTAGTATGGGATCAGGAGTTACCATGCTTCCATTCATAGCATTCATAGTTTTTTTTAAAAAAAGTGTTCTAATTCCAGTGAGATGTCCAGAATAACTCATGAGTTAATATATTCTGTAATTTATGTATCATGTTTGGTAAATTTCCTTACTTCTAATTTTTATTGCCATTGATATTATTGCTCACCATGCGAGAAATATGAGGTATTTTTGCTTAATACTCATGTTGTGTTCTTTAAAGTTATAAAGAAAAGACATCTAATTTGTGTCATCATTTTTTTTAACATTTAAAGGCTCAGAATCATTCATGCTAAGAAAACAGGCAAACGAGACACTTCAGGTGGAATTGATCTTGGGGAAGAACAACTTCCCCTGGGCACACCCACTCCAGGACGCAAGCGAAGAAGGAAGGGAGGAGATAGTGACTATGATGATGATGATGACGATGACAGTGATGACCAAGCTGATGAAGACGAGGAGGATGAAGAAGATAAAGAAGACAAAAAAGGAAAGAAGACTGATATCTGTGAAGATGAGGTAATCAAATTTAGGTTGATTTTAGGACATCTAGAATGGCATAGCATATTGATAAATAACACAGAATTTGGAAGCAGATGGATTTGGATTTGAATTCAGTTTTGACATGTATTTGCCTCTGTTTCTTCATGTGAAAAATGAATACTAAAATACTTATAAAGATTTTTGTGATGGTTGTGTAAATATTGATAGAATACCCATATATAGAAAGCACTTAGACTAAATAGTTTTGCTTTGTGTAAAATTGTGAGTTATTTGAGAACTCTCTGAAAAGCTATGCATGTTCTTAATTTCATGTGTTCTGTTTCATTCTGCTAACAGTCTGTGTTGAATTTCTACAGGACTTCACACCTTAAAAAATGTTGGCAGGCTTAGAGAAAATAATGTGTTTCTGAAACACAAGTTAGCATGTCTGTGGTTTTAGGCACATTTTAGTTTTTATTTATTACTTTATTTGAAAGATAGAGACAGACAGACCTCCTAATTACTGGCTCATTCCCACAGTGCCTGCAGCAGCTGGAACTGGGTCAGACTAAAGCTGGGAGCCAGGAACTCAGTTCAGTCTCCCACATGAGAACCAATTACGCAGCCACTTGAACCATCACCTACTGCCTCCCACAGTCTACATTTTCAGAAAGCTGAAATCAGGAGTGGAGCCAGGACTTGTACCCAGATACTCTGATATGTGATATGGGCGTCCCACACACCATCTTAATTAACCTCTGTGCTGTAAACCTGCCCCATTTTAGGCACTTTTCATCAAAGCTATATAAGGATCTGAAAGTCCCTTCTCAGTTTACAGTTTCACTAAAGAAGATTTGCCTTGGTAGGGGTATCTGCAATGTGCTAATCAGGTGTAAAGGAAGGGCATTTAGATCTTCTGAAACATGAACTCCCATGAAGGGTTTATGACCCTATTCCATGAGGCCACATGCTGGGCTCAGTGTTAACCCAGGGAAGAACGCAGGCAAGAGTGTTCCAGGAAGAGGGAATAGCATGAGGGTGGTCACAAGCATGAAACAACAACGTGTTTTAAGGGAATCTAAATTATAAGTGCTTCATCGTGGCTGTAGAGTCTTGTGTGTGGAAACAACAAACTGCGGTTTTATACTTTTTTAGGACTAGGAAGCCACTGAGTTCTTAAGTGACTTGCTCTGGTAGCTTTGTAAAAGATAAACACAGTTGGTCAAGATCAGAAGTGTGAAGATCAGTCAGGATATGGCAGTATTTTATGTGAACTGTGAGGGATCTGAAGTAGAGCAATAGTGGTTGGGATAAAGGAGGAAAGGATTCAAAAATTTAGGAAGGAGAATGGGCAGGACTTCAATATGTCCCTTTTAGGTTGATGGAAGGTTAGGATGATCTTGATCTGTTTGGGGAGACTTTGTGCTTTTGTTGGCATTAATGAAGATGGGGAAATCATCAGAATAAGTAGATGATTGAGGGGAAAGTTAGGTCAGAGGACAGATTGTTAAGGACAGGAGATGATGTTATGTTTATTTCCATTTGAAATACCTGTGCAGATGTTCAACTGTTTGTTGGATTTAGGAACCTGAAGCCTAAAGAAGAATTCTGTCTTGGAAATATAGATCTGGAATTTATTAGTATATAGACGGTAGATTAAAATAATGAGGTAGATGAGTTTGCACAGAGTTGGTTTAATGATTACAATAGTGGACTGAGGTTGGATCCCCAGGGAACATCAGTATTTAACAGGAGACCACAAGGCCTCTTGTTCAAGAAAGAACAGTCAGAGTTAGGAGATTTCTGTAATGGGCCAGAGTCCCCAAGACTACCTCTGAAGTCAATGATTCACTGGGATGAACTCAGCACACGCTTGTGCTAGGGCTGTGAATTATTGTAGTGACAGGAAACAAGGCAAAAATCAGCAATGAGCGAATGGAGCAAGGTCCAGAGGAACACAGTCTTCTCCCAGTAGTCAGGCAGCGTGAGCTTGCTTTCCCCAAGATCACCTTTGTGGCATCATGTTGACATACTGTCTAAAGGGAAATTCACTGGAGATTCAGTGCCCAGATTTGGGGGGCGGGGGGCAGAGGGTACTGACTATATAGTACTTCTGCATAGCATGTGCCAAAATTCTGGACTCCCTACAGAAAAGTGCATGTTCAGCATAAACCACATGGTTAGCACATTCAGTGTGCACCTGATGTGAAACTCTTAATCAGTTTGGGTGAGGAAACCTTCCCGAAATCCAGATTCCCGTATGCCTTCCATGGATCAGCTTTATCAGCAGGCCTTTCAAAAGACAGCAGTTGAGCCTGCTATGTTAAGTCTTTCCACACATGTGGTAGTAACAGAAATCAAGAAAACTGAACACTTCAAAAAGGAAGGAGTGATAAACAATGTTAAAGCAGCAGGAGCCTAGTGTGCTGAAGACTGCCAAGTACTTACTGATTTAGCAACACAGATCTCATTGGTAACCAGTGCCAGCGCTGCTTGATTAGAGGGGTGAGAGCAGATCCCAGGCTGTATGACTGATAGTGACAGAAAGTAAAAAAGTGAAGATGACTGTTTCAGGTTTTGTGCCTCAGAAGAAAGGGTAGTTTCTAGACAAAAACGAAGAGCCAAGATCTTTTCAAATGTAAAACATTTGAGATGATTTCTGGTTGAAAGGAAGGGATGAATGAAATGAGAGAAGAGATTAAAGATAAAGAGATAAAGAGAATTGTTAATGGGGTAGGCACCTGTTAGGACACCCACATCTCATATTAGACTGCCTGGATTTAATACTCACCTGTGACTCCTGACTCTAGCTTTTTGCTGATGGAGACGCTTGGAGGCAGTGGTGAGGACTCAATTATAATTGAGTTCCTGACACTTGCATGAGAGCTGTTGATTGAGTTCTTGGCTCCTAGCTTTGACCTGGGCCTAGCCCCAACCATCATGGGCATTTCGGGAGTGAACCTGATAAATTTTTAATGAAAAAAAAAATAAGAGAATTGTTAATGGTGTAAGGTTCTAAAGATATTTGAAGGATTTCAATCAAGGGGAAAGAGCTGCCCTTGAAGAGTAGGCCCACAGGAAAGAAGGTAGTATCATCGAGGGGTGTGTGTGTGTGCAGTTGTGTGTATTTAGGGAAAGCTACCATAAACCATGGAAATGGACAGGAATAAAAGGTTGGAGTTCACCTTTTACCAGAATAGAATGCTAGAAATGTTGGTATGCCCACAGATGGCACCCAAAAATATATATAGCCAACAATTACTTCTACCCCAAGAGCAAGGAGTATTTAGCTAAGGACATCTAGAAAGAACCCTTTTCCTTCTTTCATCAACTCAGTAATTTTGGAGAAATAAACAAGGCTTAGAAAGATGAATTCAGTGGTAGAATTGTGAGGACAGTATCTAGTTGATACCAAGGGTAAATTATTGAATCAAATTTATGGAAAATAATATAGAAGAATCTTTAAGATAATGTGCTACTTGAATCTCTTATATAAGTAAAAATAGCATAAATTCAAAATGTTTTCATAAATGCTACCTCACCAATGTTATATTTTAAACCAGGATGATAAAATCATTAGAGTGAACTTTGCTTCACTCTCTCTTATTTTATGCTTTGGTAAGAGCCACCCTCTTAATAAGTTTTAAGCTTACCATATATAATATTACTAACTATAGGCATGAAGCTGTACAGCAGCTTTCATGAAGTTATTCATCTTGTATAGCTGGAAAATTATTCCTGTTCATTAGTTATTCCCAAATATCCCCCTCCTCAAGTCCTTGGCAATCACCATTTCTACTCTCTTTCTATTTTAGATATTTCATATAATTAGAATCATGTAGAATTTAACCTTCGGTGACTGGTCTGCTTCACTCAGCGTAGTAGCTTCAAGACTAACCCATGTTGTCATATATGACAGGATTTCCATTGTTTCTTTGGCTGTATAGTCTTCTATTATGTGTACTTGTGTGCACCATATTTTATTTATCCATTCATCCCTTGATGGATACTTGAATTAGTTCCTTCCTTTGGCTATTGTGAGTAATTCTACAGTGAGCAAAAGAATGCAAATACTTCTTTGAGATACTAATTTTCATTCTTTTGGAAAAATTTCCAAAAGTGAAATTGTAGGATCATCTACTAGGTAGTTCTATTTTTTATTTTTTGAGGAAACTTCATACTATTTTTATAGTACTTAAAACATTTTACATTTCCACCAACAACATATAAGGGTTACAGTTTCTGTACATTCTTGTCAGCACTTACTTTTCTGTGTATGTGGGTGTATAATAGCCATTGTAACAGGTGTGAGGTGTTGTGGCATGTGGTTTTGATTTGCACTTCCTGGTGATTAATGACATTAGGCATATTTTATGCACTTCTTGGCCATTTGTCTTCATTGGAGAAATGTGTATTCAGGTCCCTTGCCCATTTTTTAATCAGATTATCTTGGTTTTGCTATTGAATCTTAGGAGTTTCATATATATTTTAGATATTAGCCCCTTATCAAATAGACGGTTTTCAAATATTTTCTCCCATTCTGTAGGTTGTGGGTTCACTTTGTTGATTATTTATTTTATTGTACAGAAACTTTTCAGTTTGATATAGCCTCGCTTGTCTCTTTTTGCTTTTATTGCCTGTGCTTTTGGTGTCATATCCAAAAATTTGTTGTGATGAATTTTACATTCATATTTTTAAGACTAGCAATCTGAAAAGGAGACAACATTGAGATTCCTTGAAGAAACAAATTATTTCATAAAATAATTTTGAAACCACTGGATCAGCCAGCGCAGCGGCTCACTTGGCTAATCTTCCGCCTGCGGTGCTGGCACCCCGGGTTCTAGTCCCGGTTGGGGCACCAGATTCTGTCCCAGTTGCTCCTCTTCCAGTCCAGCTCTCTGCTGTGGCCCGGGAGTGCAGTGGAGGATGGCCCAAGTGCTTGGGCCCTACACCCTCATGGGAGACCAGGAGGAAGCACCTGGCTCCTGGCTTCGGATCGACGCAGCGCGCCGGCCGCAGCAGCCATTTAGGGGGTGGACCAACGGAAGGAAGACCTTTCTATCTGTCTCTTTCTCTCACTGTCTAACTCTCCCTGTCCAAAAAAAAAAAAAAAAAAAATGAAACCACTGGATCAGTAACTGATATCATGGTGCAGTGGGTTAAGCCATACCTCACTTTCAATAGGCATCCCCTATTGGAGTGCCAGTTCAAGTCAGCTATTCCCTTCATATCCATCTCCCTGCTAATGCGCTTGGGAAAACAGCAGAAGATTACCCTTGTTCTTGGGTCCCTTCCACCCACATGGGAGACCAGCCTTGAATTCCAGGCTTCTGGCTTCAGCCTGGCCCAGCCCCAGCCATTGTGGCCATTTGGAGAGTGAAACAATGAATGGAAAATCTCTCTGTGTCTTAAAATAAATAATTTTTTTAAATGAAACCACTAGATCATACATATTTCCCCTGTGACAAAAATATAAAAGGTTTAGGGTATCAGAAGTATAATTATACTAATATACCATTTATAAGTAGTTTGCTTCATTTAGCAAGTAGAGGTGTTAATAATAGGAACTAAACATTTCTGACCAAAATTAGTCACCTTTTCACAGAATTAATATCCCCTTTCCCTTTCAACACAACATTCTGAATTATTTTACAGAGTTAACTCTCATAAATTTTACAACGCAATGTAGGGATTTGAGTGTTTTCTACTAGGTAGTTACCCCACTAAATTAAAATTTACTTACAGAAATTATTTGTTTCACCTGGCTTCTTTTCAATTCGGAGAATTAATAAACCATATATTTTATTCTTTACACATAGACTATTTGGAAATCATTATTTATGTTTCTCAGAGGAAACATGACATTTAAAGAAGTATTTAACATTTTTATGAGTGTCAAATTTTATAGAACATCAATTGTGGGATTTCATTGGCAAGTGTCTATCTTTTCATTATTATTATTATTTGAAGGATGGAGTTACAGAGAAAGACACACACACACACACACACAGAGAGAGAGAGAGAGACAGAGAGATATCTTCCATCTTCTATCCACTGGTTCACTCCCTAAGTGGCAGCAATGGCCAGAGCAGGGCCAGGCAAACCAAAAGTCAGGAGCTTCTTCCAGGTCTCCCCCCTGGGTGCAGGGGCCCAAGCACTTGGGCCATCCTCCACTGCCTTCCCATGTGCATTAGTAGGGAGTCAGACAGGAAGTGGAGCAGCAGGGACTGGCACCCCTATAGGATGCCAGCATCGCAGGTGGCAGCTTTATCCACTGCACAACAATAACAGCCGCACAAAGTGTATATTTTATGGTGTGAAAAATAATTTTAAAATTTATAAAAATGTTTAATATTCTGGGACCTAAGAAGCTAAATTAACATCTCCTTTAGGTGATTTGGGTTTTTCTTTATAATGAAGAACGGGAGATATTTATCAGTTTACTAAATCAGTAACATTTGGACAACTTAGTGAACATGACTGATAAGGTAGGCATATTAGTTACCCAAAAATAGATTTAGCCTCCTGATTTTAGGTTATAGTTAGGCAATAGTTAATGTACCCTAAGGAATCTTTGCAGGAGGTTTTTCCATTGAGATCCTATGATCCGTTTTGATTAGAAGATACTGACTTTGACTAAGTCATAACCCTTTGTCTCAAAGATATTTTCCTCTTCTCTCTCTTCATTCCTTCAAGACATGGAGGCTTCCCATTAATATTTAAATTTGTATTGAGACCTGTGTAAGCTTTTAACCTCTCAAGTTAGCACATGAGAGGTTTTGTGGACAATTGCATTGTGACATACAGAGACAGATAATGGCCTTTTTAAGTTGCAAAACCATTTCAGGAATAGATTCTGTATTCTTCGTTTTATCGCTGTTGCTACTTTTCTCCCCACTCTTTTTAGTTCTTTTACATCCTTGAAAATTCTAACTACAGTTGGCTAAAACTTCTTTTTATTTTTTTTAAAGATTTATTTATTTGAGAGGCAGAGTTACAGAGAAAGGGAGAGAGAGAAAGAGAAAGGTCTTCTATCTGCTGATTCACTCCTTAAATGGCTGTAATGGCTAGAACTAGACTGATCCAAAGCCAGGAGCTTCTTCCATGTCTCCCACACAGGTGCAGGGGCCCAAGCATTTGGGCCATCTTCCACTGCTTTCCAAGGCTATGAGCAGGAAGATAGATCAGAAATGAAGCAGCCGAGACTTGAACTGGTGCCATATGGGATGGCAGCACTGCAGGCAGAGCCATAACCTGCTATGCCACAGCACCAGCCTTGAACTAAAACTTCTTAAAACAAAAACAAAACTTCAGTAGACATTTTATTTCTTTCTCATCATAGAAAAAAATCTTGAAAATTGCATTTAGTTAATTGGTTGGTGTATGGCTACTTTGATATCTTATTTTAAATATTTATTGCTCAAATGTTATATTTGCATTAAGCAAACACTTGTCCTGCTGATCAGTAGATAACTTTAAGAATCTGTATATGGGGCCGGCACTGTGGCGTAGTGGGTAAAGCCGCCGCCTCCAGTGCTGGCATCCCATATGGATGCCGGTTTGAGTCCTGGCTGCTCCTCTTCCAATCCCACTCTCTGCTATGGCCTGGAAAAGCGGTGGAAGATAACCCTAGTCCTTGGGCCCCAGCACCCACGTGGGAGACCGAGAAGAAGCTTCTGGCTCCTTGGCTTTGGATAGGCCCAGCTCTGGCCATTGCAGCCAATTGGGGAGTGAACCAGCAGATAGAAGACCTTTTTCTCTCTCTCTCTCTCCCTCTCTGCCTCTGTCTCTCTGTAACTCTACCTTTCAAATAAATAAATAAAAACCTTTTAAAAAAACAGAATCAGTATATAAATATCCAGTTGGAGTCAAAATTTAAGGGTCTCCAAGATTGTTCTGTTGTTCTGTTTTGTTTCGCTTTTTAATAGTTTAGACGCAGAGCAGGTGAAACAGAGAGCTTCCATCCCCTGGTTCGCTCTCCAAATGCCTGCAGTGGCCTAAGCTGCATATTGAAGCCAGGAGCCAGGAATCCAATCCGGGTCTCCCATGTGGATGGCAGGAACCTAATCACTGGAGCCATCCCTGCTGCCTGCCAAGTGTATGTTTGCAGGAATCAGGAGCCAGAGGCAGGCACTCGGATGTGGGACACAGGTGTCCCAATCTGTGTCTTCACCAGCAGATCAGACGCCTATCCCTAGTCTTTTAACCTTTCTCTGAATCACAAAGAGAGTACATTTTGTTAGCACAAATAATATTTCTAAAGAAAGTGAAAAGAAGACCTCAATAGTTTTACCAATGTCTATCATTTATGCACTCCTTATAGAAATTTAAGAAACTAAGTTATGAAAGCATTTTCTTTACCTCTCTCATCTCTCTCTGCCTCATATCCGTGAGATACCAGAACGTAATAGTTTTCTAACTATGTATTATATCTTATACCCACTTGTTTTTCTCTATTTTTATTTTTTTAACCCATTTTCCCTCTGTCTTAAATCATTGTTGCATTTAAGCAGCTAGTTTTTCCAGTTTTGGTGCTTTCTCTGCTCCAGGCCATCTGACGACTATTGCCAGATCAATCTTTGTAAAGCACAGTTACAGTATTTAACCACCCTCACAGGGTCGTACCATTGTCCTTTGTCAGCACTTACAGCTCTTCACGATCTAGTCCTAACCTCCTCTTGGCTCATTTCCCACTTCCTCTTCCTGCACCTTTCATCTCAAAATATGGCAAGACTGTTGTTGGAATGCCCTGTCCTCCTTTCTCTGATTGATAAATTCCTAATCATGCTTGAATAGCTCATTTAAACCATGATTCTTCCATATGGCCTCTCTTGGAATGTATTCCTGTTAGAAATAATCTCACCCTGCCCAAAACTCCATGGCTGCTAATCTCTGTCTCTTTGTGGTTCTTACAGATTCCTAATATCTGGTGTTTTTTCTTAATGTAATGTCTTACATTACATTAATTAATGTCTCTCTACCAGATTGTTCTTATAGAGAACAAGAACTAAGTCTCACTTGTTTTCATGATGCCTCTCCAACTTAGTACTTAGCATAAAGGAGGCTTTCATGAAATATTTGCTGATTGATTGAATAAATAATTTTAAAAACAGACAATTGACACTCTTTTGTTATATATAGGATGATGGTGACCAAGCAGCAAGTGTTGAAGAGCTAGAAAAACAGATTGAAAAACTGAGTAAAGTAAGATTTTTTAACATTAATGTTTACATCTTTTTAAGATTAATGCTTTAAAAATCTGTATTGTATAGGATTAGTTTTTCTGACTGCTAAGTAAAAAGCTTTTTTTTTTCAGTAATTAAAATGAAAAGCTTTAGAAACACCATCACAATTAAACCTTAATAGTTTAAAGCTAAGGTTAAATGCAAAGGTTAATGCCTCCAAAGACATGATATTGAACTTAATCAGAGCTTGTGAAGAAATGATTCTGTATTCTTGAGCTCTTCATATAAACACAATGCAGGCATGATTTTATCCCTTGGAATAAATTACTGAAAAAATTCAGTTGAATTTCAAAGTAAGAGCTTTAGCATCTTTGGTTTTATGTTTATGGATTTTATTTGCATTGGATGGGCAAACTGTACATGTGTACCTTTCATTGGAAACCCAATTTCAATAGAATTAGTGAAATTTAAGATGAACTTTTTGTAAGGAAGAAAAAAATGATTCCTTAACACTATTATGAGATATTTGTGTATTGTATCAACATATTCTTCACAGATCCATCCCAAAATTTAGTCATTTGTGACCTACTTTTATATCATCAGTATAAAAATATGTAAATATAGATTTGGCAAATTATATGTAAACACTGTTACATACTACAAATAATGGAATTGAGCTAATTTGCTTTGGCTCAGTGGTATAGTTGACCACATTTTTTATTATCAACTATAAATATATCTTTAATATAAGATAACTGATAAAACATTTTTATACATGGCAACAAAACTATCCCAGTTATTCTTAAAATGATTTTCATATTATAAATATTACTGAAATTACAGTCAACTATGTAATATTAAGCCCTTTTGTGATCTTTTCCCAGAAATAAATTTATTTGTTCTAAAAGCATAAGCATAAATTTGCTTATATATTAATGTTTAAAGCACTTACCTATAACTTAATATATGCTATTTTTAACAGCAACAGAGTCAGTACAGAAGGAAGCTCTTTGATGCTTCTCACTCATTACGTTCGATGATGTTCGGCCAAGATCGTTACAGACGCCGGTACTGGATTCTTCCCCAGTGTGGGGGAATTTTTGTAGAAGGCATGGAGAGTGGTGAAGGTAGGCACTATTAATCTATGACTACTATGTAGTGTTAAATAAGAGAAATTTTAAAAACTGTTACTTATATATTTTGTGCTTTCACAGTCAAGGCTGCTCTATTGATAAACATTGTGAAACCTTGATTCACTTTCCCTTTGAACTCATAGTAGGTGCCCCTTTTACTGACAGATACTTCCCCTGCCCGTGGCTTTTTCCTACCAGTCTTTCTGACATCAAACATAAGCTATTCTGTCTCTTATTTACTGTATTATAGTAGCTGCTCTATTTCTCTTTCTTGCCATTCTCAAACTTTTCAGCGTATGGTTTATTTAATTTTTTAACAAACATTCCTCCTGACAGTACCCCCTCAGAGGTCACTTGTTTAAATCTAGGATCATTATCATTGTCCTCACTCATTTTGGAGTCTTGCTCATGTTTGGAATTTGTGACTATTTCTTGAATTTTAGGTCGCCCCCAGTCTTCAAAGTTCTACCCTGGGACTATCCTTTTGCTGCCTCATTTCCGTAACATAAACTAGTATAGTGCTTTGTATGCTTAGGTGCTCAGTAGCACTGCTTGAATTGAGTTTTCAGAACTTTAGGTCTGCCCTTTTCCAAATGTCTGACTTCTGATGGTGCCAAAGTGTTATGTCAGTGCCTACAGATTTTGGAATGTTGGTAGTGACCCACAGTTACACATGGTAGCAAAAATGTCTTTGAATACATCTTTTGATTTCTCAGCACTGCAGGAAGCAGAAAGTTATATAAAATCTAATTCACATCATGTAGAGGTTTATGGTTCTTTTGCAAGAGTTTGGTTAGTCCACACTATACCTATAATACTTATAATAGAAATTATAAATAAAGCAGTTGTTTTAAAGCTTTTCCGTTTCAGCAATGGAATCACCCTTTTTAATTGAGAATTTTGTGATCCCTATATCGTGACAAAAACTGATAGATCTGTTTGAGGGAACTCATAGCCTTTCCAAATAGATCTCTGTCCTACACATTTGCTTTCCAATCTGGATGGACCAAGAGTAAACTCTAATTAATATTAGGACTCTGAAAATCAAAGAGTAAACTCTGAACCTTAAAAGTTTAAAAGCGGGGCCAGCACTGTAGCCTAGCAGGTAAAGCCGCCACCTGCAGTTTCGGCATTCCATATTGGCGCTAGTTTGAGTCCCAGATGCTCTACTTCCAATCCAGCTCTCTGCTATGGCCTGGGAAAGCAATAGAAGATGGCTCAGTCCTTGGGCCCCTGCACCCAGGTGCGAGACCCGGAAGAAACTCCTGGCTCCTGGCTTTGGATTGGCACAGCTCCAGCTGGGAAGTGAACCAGCAGATGGAAGACCTCTGTCTGCCTCTGCCTCTCTGTAACTCTGCCTTTAAAATAAATAAATCTTTAAAAAAAAATTTAAAAGCAAAATATTTAGAAGTCTCAAAGCAGGAAGACGCTATATAGCCTCCTTAATATTTTCCACAAGTTTTGATACACATGGCCATCTCTGCCACTGGACTGTGAGCTCTTTGTGAAAGAGACTAATTTACGCAGCAGACCTACACTAAAATAATCTGGGAGCAAAGTAAACATTAGATTGGGGTAAGAAGGAGAAGAGAAGCCCACTGTGAAACCATTCTAATAGCCCAGCTAAAAATTAGAAAAGCCATTAGTGTCAATGTTGTGGCACAGGGGTTAAGCCGCCACTTGTGACATCAGCATCCCATATCAGATCCCCTACTGTGCCTCAGGTGCAGCTCCCTGCTGATGTTCCTGGGGTGGCAGTGGAGGATAGCCCTTGGGAAGTGAACCAGCAGACAGAAGATCTCTGTCCCTCTTTCTGTCACTCTGCCTTTCAAATAAATTAATTGTTGTTTTTAAAAAAGTTAGAGAGGCCCTAAACTCGGGTACAAACAGTTTTGTAAAGATAGAAGGTGAAATGTTGAATGTGGAACTACTATAACAAATTACCTACTATAATGTAAGAAAAGTGGAATAAGAGATAAATTTGATGACTTCATCCTCAGTAGAAAAATTGTGATGCTTGAACAGAATCAGAGAAGGCAAGAGGAGTTGTTTGGAATGGCATTAAATGAAAGTTGAAGTCAAGACTTTGAATTTAAAATGACAAAACTGGGTCACTTGGAGGGGTAGAGCCTGGTAAAGTTCAAAAGCAAAGAAATGCCCTAGTGAGGGTGATTTACTTTTGCTGTAACTAAAATCACCTGAGAAGTTTAAGAGACCAACCTGAATCCTGCCCCAGACCAGTTAAATCTTCAGGTTGAGTAAGGAGTACACCATTCTCAGTCGCCTGAGCCTGTGAACTTGAGGTTATCCAGCACATCAGGTTTTCTCTCAAAAAGTCTGCAGTCACTTTGCACCACTACTTCAGTCAGTTCCTTATTATATCCCTGGATTATCGCAACTGTCCTCAATTTTTGTACATGCAACCCTCCTATTTTGTTCTGTCACCATGATATATCTTTCATCCAAAATCTTAAATGACTTTCTGATGCCTTTAAGATGATGCAGTAAATTTTTACTTTAGCCTACCCTTCAAGATCCTGAAAAATCTGCCCTCACATTCTCTTTAGGTGTTTCCTGATATGAGTTACCCTACACTACTGTATTCATGGTCACTCACCACATGTGTGTTCTCTATGTCTTTTGTAAATAATACTTCTTTCATTATAATGATAATTTACCTTTTCTGCAATTCTAGACAGACCATCTTTTTCCTTTCACAGATTATCTAAATCTGCAACCATCTTTCTTGGTCAAACTCAAATACTAGCCCTTTATAAACTCCCACTTATTTATGTGGAATTAATCTTTAGTATATGGATTCCCCTTTAAAACCAAAGAGTTGCCGGTGCCATGGCTCAATAGGCTAATCCTCCGCCTGCAGCGCCGGCAAACTGGGTTCTAGTCCCAGTCAGGGTGCCGGATTCTGTCCCGGTTGCCCCTCTTCCAGGCCAGCTCTCTGCTATGGCCAGAGAGTACAGTGGAGGATGGCCAAAGTACTTGGGCCCTGCACCCCATGGGAGACCAGGATAAGTGCCTGGCTCCTGCCATTGGATCAGCGTGGTGCGCCGGCCGCAGTGCGCCAGCCGCAGCGGCCATTGGAGGGTGAACCAACGGCAAAAAAAGGAAGACCTTTCTCTCTGTCTCTCTCTCTCAGTGTCCACTCTGCCTGTCAAAAAAACAAAAATAAAAATAACCAAAGAGTTAATTATACCACTAGTTTGGCACATTTATGTATATACTATGACACTTTTTTAAAAAATATTTTCCCTGCCTGGGACTGGGACAGGAAATGTCATATTTGGAGTTAGTACCTCTTGAGACTGATATATACAGGGTAGACCTTGTTATTTAGCACTTTTTTGAAAAAGATTTATTTTATTGGAAATTCAGAATTGAGAAAGAGAGATCTTCCATCCACTGGTTCACTCCCCAGATGGCCAACAAGCCAGAACAGGATCTCAGCCAGGCTGAAGCCTGTTTCATCCAAGTCTCCCAGATAGGTGCAGAGGCCCAGGGACTTGAGCCATCTTCCACTGTTTCCCCAGGTATATTAGTACAAAAATTGGATTGAAAGTACCCGCAGCCAGTACTCGAACTGGCTGCTGGCATCACAGGTGGCAGTTTAACTCACTATGCCACAATGCCAGGCCCAAAGCCTTAAAATTCTCATCTGTACAACCTTTTATTCTCCATGGTGTTAAGCATACTATTTTACATACCATAAACACACTAAAAATATCTTAATTAATATAAATAAAATACAGTTATGTAACACTTAATGATGACAGGGATATGTTCTTAGAAATTTATCTTCAGGTAATTTCATCATTATGTGTACAACACAGTGTACTATGCAATTCTAAATGATATAGCTTCCTACATACCTAGGCTATATATAGGGGGTATATATATATATATATATATAAATAGTATAGCCTGTTGCTCCTAGGGTCATAATGAACAAATCAACATGACATCAAATCAAACACTAGAAAATATTATGCAATCAAGAGACACAGGAAGCAAGGAATGTTGAAGCTGCTGTTGTGTAATGCAGCATACTGTTTCAAGTGAGCATGTTTTTAATTAAAGGAGTACCCTCTAAAATAATGATAAAAGTATAATATAGCAAATTCATACACCATTAACATTGTTGTTTATTATATTGGATATTATGTACTATCTATAATTATATGTTCTATAGTTTTATATGACTGTTAGAGTAGTGAGTTTGTTTATACCAGCATCACAATCATGAGAAATTCATTGCCCTGTGATGTTATAATGTCTATGTCACCAGTAGGTGATAGGAATTTCCAGTCTCATTATAATCTGATGTGACTACTGTTGTATAAGCAGCCTGTAGTTGATGCAAACATCTATGCAACACATAACTGCAACTAAATGTTTTTATGAGGTTCGCAGAATAGCTTGCAGGAGACTTTGTTTTAAGTTTTAGGCCTCTCTGATTAAATAACATCGATTGAATTTGTAGTTATTAGACCCTAGCTTCCCTTTAGGCCCTACCACTTCACCTCTCTGGATCTTGATTTCTGTCTGTACAAAAGAAGAATCTTAATAAGCTCTGATACATTCTTTCATTGTTATAAGGATTGTGTAAAATAGTAGATCTGAATGAGCTACAAAGTGATATAAACATTAATTTAGAATATTGTGGTCATTGCACAATACATGGTGAAAGTCCTAATTTTTCACTTAAAGTTTTTTCCTCATGAAGGGTTTTTTTCATTAATAGATACACATCTGCTATATTATTCTAAGTACTAGGAAGCTATAAAATAAATGGCAAATGTATATACCTTCTTTTTACCTTACAGCTATTTAAAATAGGAGGGGGACCATGATTTAATCAATTATTTAATTTGTGCCTATGTCATGCCTTGTATTAAGTGCTGTGGAGTTGCAGAAGAATCTGTGCCTATTCACAAAGAGTTGGCAATCTGATTAGAAAGACATAGCTTATATGCAGACAA